TATTCTCCATGAACCCCACTTTGATTTTGTGCATTAAAAGGGGGAAATATGGCGTGGCTTATGGAATGGAATTTGGCCATTAAACATCGTACTATTCATATATTTATTTGGTTTTTGCATAAAACGTGCAAATATATTTATTTAATTATTTTTATTAATATCTAAAAAAATAATTTATAATATTTAATATTTGTTTTGCATTTTTGCTTTGTTTCTTTTTTTTTTTTTGCAGTGTAGCACATCATTCTGTCGCTCCCAGTCAGGGCTGGGGTGCGGGGTGTATCCTTCTCTTAGTGAGTATTTAGCGTGCGTGAAATTGAGATAAATGTCGTGAGAGTTATGACAACCCAAAAACCGCAAAATCCCCCCAAACCAGACCTCAATCCCTGCCTGCCTGCCTGCCTGCGGAATATGCAAATTATTTTGAGAATTGTGTGGCATCCGCCTGTGTGTGTCCCCACTCACACACACACAGCACCTGTCTGCCGGCTGGTCTCATTGTCATTAAGATTATGAATTAGCATTTGTAGGGCATTTTTGCAGAAGCCCCAGCTGAAGCCGACTTAAAGAGCGGCTCATCCGCATGTCAGGCCACAGGATGATTGAGTGCACGCACAGGTGGCAGAGGGCTGAGCAGGCAGTGCAGGCACAACGCAGAAGCAGCCACAGAGAAGCAATCCATAAAGAAAAAAAAAAACATAGAAATAAATTCAAGAGTGTCGATTCGGCGAGGCCCGAACAGGGTTCTGCGGACACCTATTGGCACCTTGTTGGGTATTCCTCATGCTCCAGAGTCTAGAGTATTCTCCGCTGACTCCTCGGAGTCCATAGCGGGTTTCAAAAAAATACCAAAATATATTTGAAAATTTTTCTGCTCAATTTAAGTTTAATTCTATTTATTCCTTGGCCTAACTGTGTTCTATAGTTCCATCTTCGAAAGCAAATGGTCACGTTTTAATTACTAAAATTCCCTCGAAAAAAATTGACAGTCCATTGAGAGTCGTCATCCGCCCCGCCCCCGTTTGGTTTTGCTGTTCATTTGTGCAATTTGTAACAATAACGTTGCAATAATATTCTACGAGTGCCCGGGAGCAGTTCGAGAAGCAGCCCCCACGCAGCTACCCCTGCGTGTGCCACTCAACCGAGATGCAGCATCAGTGCCATGCCATGCCATGCCCCGTGCATTATACATAATTTCGCTTACGTCACTTGACTGATTAACCAGCCGGAACGGGTGGCAGTGGGTCGGAGATGGCAGCGGTAGTTCGGATTTGTATGTGGGGTGGTGGCAGGGGGCGAACTTGCAACAGCAAATATGACAGGGCAAATTCAATGCACGCAACATGAAAACGCACTTAAACGGCAATCAATTGCACTTTACACAAGCTGCACCTCCGCCGGACACTTGACCCCTGGACGCTACCCTGAAAGGCCACGCCCCACCGGGTGCTAAGACCCTGAGAGATTACAGAAGCTATGGCATACCCTAGCCGTGGGATAACTATAGTTTTTAAAAAGTTTAAAAAATATTTAAATCGCGTGCAGAAATATAAATATATTTAATACTCATAAATGATATTCGGGAAAGGGTATTGGGCGATGGGAGTGGCGGAAAAATGCACCGATTGACGGCGAGAGTTCGATGGAAAAGCATGTTAAAGAACAATATGCACAACGCGTGCAAATATTTATTTTACTACAATGCAAGGGGCGTGCCTTCATCCGCCTCCGCCTCCGCCACCGCCACGCCCCATAGCTCAAAGTCCGTGGCGATATTTTGTTGTTCATGATGGCTATGGCAAGTGCAAAAAAAAAGGACAGAAACGAACAGGAGCAGCAGCAACAACAAAATACGCAGCAAACTTTTCTTCCAAGAAGTTCAACTAGTGAAAAGTTTTCGCTACGAAAAGGAAAAACATTTTATTTTATTTTTTATTTGGTGTTTTTTTTGTTTCCTTTTTTGCTTTTCTATTGCGAGGGAGGAAGATGTCGAATTTTGCATGTTTATTTTGAAATCATGCGAAAACAGGAAAATCAAATTATGCAAAAAATGTGAATGCAAAAGGGAACAAAACAACAAAAATAAGACCAACACACAGAGAACGAAAAAGAGAGGGCAGGGCAAGGGGGAGGGCGAGAGTACAATTGCAATCAAAAGTTTTTTTTTTTTTTGTTCATTCAAATAAGCAATACCTTGTGCGAAAAGTACATCAAAAGGGTCCAGTAAAACCATTTGCCATTCAGAATAAAGAAACAAAAATGATACGAGGAGCTGCACACAAACAATCGGGGCAGAAAGGAAGCCTACAGAATTGCATGCCTCCAAGGCTATTATTATTATATTTAAATTAATTTCCAAATCTTAGCTGTGAAGCTTCCGCCTGGGAGCGATGGAAAAAGTAATAATTTCTTAAGCAAAACCCACCAAAATATGCCCAAAAAAACTCAACTGAAGTCACTCAAGGGGTGAGCCTGCTGCAGCCAGCTTCAAAGTTCATTCGTACGGAATATCTGCCACAGTTCTTGTTGATCAAATGATCAAATCATGAGACATGAGTGTGCCGTGCAATCAAGCGAAGGGATATTAAATATTAAACTGCTCGTCGTCGGTGTCCAGCGTGCAGCCGTTTACTTAAGCGTTAAGAGAAAGCCAGGAAGCAATAAAAAAATAACGAAGCAGCGCCTGACCGGAATACCCTCTTGGCAGAAGGCAAGCAGCGGGCAGCGGGCAGCAGGAGCAGTGCATTTGAGGGGCAAAACGCTCTTTATCAGCTCGCTGAAAACTTTGTGCGCTGTGTGTGTGTGGCATCAGCATCAGCATCAGCAGTTTATGAAATTGTTGCAGCTGCAATACGAAGCATGCCCCACGGGCCCTGTGCCCGTGTGCCCTGTGCCCGGCCTCGGCCTCAGTCCCACCAGCAAACAGAACAGTCCATGTCGAAAGTTGGCCAAGCAGCAGCTGCTCCTGCTCCTCCTACTGCTGCTGCTCCTGCCACTGCTGCAAGGCCTCGTAAAACAATAAAAAGCGCACACAACTTGCCATCAGAGAAGGTGGCACAAAGGGGGGTGCTGCATCGGCGCAGGCCACACTGCGTGGACTCAGAACCATTTAACTATTGTGTGACACATCAGCATCTGATCTGACTTATCCTCGGCATGATTAAATCCAGCAAAAGAAAGCAAGCAAAACAGTGGGAAATATTTTGGGTCTTTGATAGTTTTAAAGCTCCAAAATATATATTACTCCCATTGTATCGATTCATATTTGTTAACATATCAATTTAATTGATATCGATATAAATGCCAGAAATGGTAACCATCACTTGCCAGCAACAACAACAACAACAACAACAACAACAACAACAAAGGTTATTGCCAGTGCCACGTTTTTTCAATTGGAAAATATCTTTTGTACATTGCGAGCTATGAAAAGCGATATTCTGGACGATGTGCTTTTGGAAAATGACGAGAACAAGCAGGAGATTGTAATGCAGATGCCTGAAGTGGCAGACGAGGAGGCGGAACAGATGCCTGCGCCCCCGCCTGCGCCTGCGCCTGCCGAACCACCGATCATTATGGCGCCCGATGCACCAATTGCGCCACCACCATTAGCCGGACATCAGGTGCCCGGATGGCGTCCGATGCCCCATTTGCCCCCGCTTAACGATCTGCGCGGGCCTACATTGAACGCTCGAAATATTGGTGACATGTTTCCCGACTATGTTTTTGATGGCGGTGCTGCCTTTACAGCCTTTCACAGCGATCCGGAGAGCTCCCTTATGGCGCTGTTTGGGGTCAAGTGCACGGCCAATACAGACGGAACGTGCACCAAAACGGACTGCGACCATTCATTGGAGAGCCCCGAGGCTGTGAAGATGGAACTGATGCCCATGCCCGTGGGGGAACTGTTCAGCACCTATGCCCAGATGATGCACCACGATCGTCTGTTCGAGCTGTTCCATGAGGTGTATGCCGAAGTGTTTCAGCTGCGCGGCTTGTCGAACGCCTTTAACCGCAGGATGGCGGAATGGTCCGACAATGGAGGCCCCTCCTAGACACACAGGTATGTGCCGACAAATATAGCTAACTATATGCCTTGCCTCCAATACCAAATGCCATTTTAATCGGCAGAGAAATGCAGTTCCACTCCACAGATCCACGACTACTCGGCTTAGGGTGCAAGTAGATTGCATTCTGCATATATAGAATACTCAAATTATACATCAGATACTCAAATTATACCTCAGATACTCAATTATACCTCAGCTACTAATTTATACCTCATATACTCAATTATATTTAATACATTTTATCATTATATTCCACAAAGCTTTGTTCTACTTTCATTTCACTTTTTTTTTGCTATGCGAATTGGGCAATGAATGCCCCGCCTTAGTCTGTGGAGTCCACCCTCTCTGGCAAGGCAACACAAATTAAAGCAGAGTAAAAGTCAGTACCTGAGAATCAAGCAACCGAGCGAGCGCCACGCTCCCACCGGACAGAAAAGTAAATAGAAATGGTCGAAAAACTATGGCAAATATATGAGTAGGTATACAAAGCGTTGGGCGCGTATGTACATACGTCACAGATCGCACACAAACAATGTAGGGCAAGGTCTGTATCGAGAAATGCACGCACGCGCCCATACCCGTGGACTGGGAGGAACAATAAAGGAGCCACTTCATGACTTTAATATTGTTTCAGTGCTTAGTTTGTTGAACAATAACAAAGAGCATTCTGGAAACAATTTAAGATTCGGTATCTGGGGCTGCCAGATGTATATGTCCCTCTGGCCATGGAGCATCTATGGCGGGGCATCGCTACTACAATTTAATCGTCTCTACAATGTTCCACTCCCTGCGATGGACCCAGCAACGGGTGCGATGTGTCTGCCACCCAGCCACACCTTAAAGATTCTAATTTAAGCCTGAACCACATAGTTAACAACTGTTTTATGTTTTGTTTATATTCAAATGCGGCTGGCTATGGCCGGTACTCACTTTTCGCTGGTCCATCCAAGCACCCTGCAGATGAACACTCCGTGCAGGCTAAAATAGGAATCGGAGATGGCCATAAGTAAGCGAAAAATAATAAAGAGAACACTTAAAATATCACAATTAATAGATACTCGAACTGGATTCCATTGGCGACGCAGGGCCCACAGTCTGCTTCCCGATCAGCGCCACTTCACGGCTCGAATATGTGGGAATATCTTTATAGCAAATGAATATTCTGAATTGAATTTCTGTATACGGGCAATTGCGCAGAAAATTAAATTAACGAAAATCGAGTGATCTGGGGTTGCCAGATCGTTGGTAGTGGGACGCCGATCCGATGTGAGCATTATTTCCCTCACTTGTCTTTTATTATTATTTATATTATTTATATACAATATAGGGCATGTCATTATTGGCATCTTTGGAGTTCGAGGGGACATCGTTATAGTTAAATTCCTGGCATTGACCGATGTATTATTCGATGTATCGATAGATTTATTATATCTATTCGACTGTCAAGTGTCAGGTATCGAGGGAGCGGCATTTCCGCGTTCTTCTTCTGCTCGAAGCTTCCGTCCGGCGAGCAGTAATTAAATTCGCTAGTAGAATATTAAATTAAATATGGAATTTATATTCTTGATCGAGATCACGGTTCGTGTCGCTTTGGATGTGCAGCAGGAATGGAGATTGCTCCCCGGGGCTCTGATCGGAGAGCGACTGTTGGGTCTGCTGGATATATTTCCAGGAACTTAAACGGCGCACTCTGAGATCCAGTTGAGAGTGCAAACCGAATGAAATCTGCTCAGAATCCCATCCCGCGATAAGCAGTTCAAAGCAGATTCAAAGCAGCGGAGCGACATCGTCCGAGAGAGGGATAAGAGAGAGAGAGAGAGAGTGAGTGAGTGAAACGTGTAAAAGTAACGGTGAAGCAAGTCCGAGAAGTCGCTCGTTTGCTCTGTGTTTTTGTTTCTGTTTCTGTTTTAGTGCGTGCCTGAGAGTGGAAGAAACAACAAAGAAGGAGCAGTGCAAAGAGGAAGAAGGAGAAGGGGAATACAGTTAGAGCAGAGCGCAAGCGTAAAGCGGCTGCTGCTTGAGTGCGTGTGAGGGAGATGGAGAGAGTGTTCGCTGTGTTGTGTGCTCTCTCTCGCTCTCTCTCTCTTGTCCCACGCAAAGTTGTGATCGGCGTTTCGTATACCCATTGATTCGCTCAATCAGAAGGCAGGTTGAGTGCCTTTTTCTAGTACACTTTCTAGTAGACAAGCGTGCAAGATTGTACTTTGGGAATAAAATGTGTAGGTATATTTATTACACAGTATAAAGAGTGTTATACTGTTTATTATCACTCTTTCCACGCAGTTGAGGCTGCCGAAGGTGCGAGGGGCAGTCGCAGCGAGTGCAGAATGGAGAATTGTGCCCTGCAATTGATTCGTGCGAAATGCATTGATAATTCCCACCCAATCGAGGGAATACTGGAACTATTTATATTCAGCAAATGCTGAAATTTCTGAGGAATTTTGCAAATATGATCCAGAGGCTGTGTTGCTGGCATTTACTGGAGTCTATATTCTGGACGAAGAATGAAGTCTTAATTTATTTTTAATCAATCGTCGACGATTTGTAGCTGATGGCAGGAACCCCTTTGGTCATGGGCCATGGTCCATGGTCCATGGGGTCCCTCAGTGGAGATGTTGCCCCTGAATGTCGCAGATGACTCTCGTTACAAATACAAAAAAAATCCTATGAACTAAGAGTACCCTTCCCCCCCCAAGTGGGGGGTACTTGCACTTGCACTTGTGGTAGATGATGGCAGATATCTTGAATATCTGCGCCCGCTTGATATCCATCAAACTCTGCTCAACTATCGTCGCATGAAATTGTCTCGTTATCTTTGGCTTGTGGTGGGTGGAGAAAAACGCTTTTGCACCGCTTCCTCCCACCACCAACCCCAGCCCAATCCATCCAACGAACAACCAAAGTATTTTCCAAGGAATTTGCGTTTGCATTTTGTGCGGCATTTGCAATTTGTCGGCGGCGGCAATGGCAGCGGCAGCGGCAGCAGCAGCGTCTCTGTCTTCGTCTCAGTCTGAGGCTTTGGCTGCAATCGCAGTTGCCGCATCAGCAGAAATCCACAATAAGGTTGCATAATGCACCACCACCAGAAGCAGACTTTCCACCATGCCATGCCACACCACCACCTACTGGCAGTACTGGCAGCACTGGCATCCTCGAGTTGCTCCTCCACTCAAAACTTTAGTGGCGACGACGGCCTACAAAAACTTTGCCGATTCAAGCTGTTTTTTTTTTTTTTTTTTTTTCTTGCACACCAACCACCCCCTGGAAAAGCCATGGGAATGGAAAATCGCAAGGCAGAAAGCGAAGCGAAGCGATGCGAAGCTGAAGAACCTTTTGGCAATGGCATAAAATACACAAATCCATTTTCAGCTTAATCGCTTCTACTTCAATTTGCATTCGTTTGATTGTCTTTTGGGGCAGGCAACCGTGAGGCAGGGGGCGGGCCCCCCCCCATCAGGCGGCGGGCGCTCTTGATGTATTCGCAGTTGTCAAAACAAAATGTTAAAGTGCAATGTGCAACGATGATTCTGTCTGTACCCCCCACCACCCCACTACAGGCTACACAGCTACCTCCCCACTGCCCACTCCCCCCCACTGCTATACTGCCATCTTGAGCGTCTCGCGTGTGGTTGGGTGTTTTGTTGCAACGTCGTCACGTAGCGCCGATTCGACACAAAAAAATACACTGCCAAAAAATAAATCAAACGAGAAGGAACGTGTGAGTCGCTTCTGGGGACGCGACTCTACTTATACCCGTACTCAGTCAGTATTTATATTTTTGAGCTGATAATTTTTTTGAATTTTAGAATGGTGCAGAGGCACTTATATTTTTCGGATAGAAAATCTACCAATTGGGGAACTATTTATACATATACTGTATCCATATATACTCTGTATGTACTCCCTTTGGGAGCTGTGCAACATTGAGCAAAGATGAACCCAGCTTATTCCTCACTCCTCCCTTAACGACTACTTATTTTATTTATTTATTTCAATTAATTAACAATTATCTGCTAACTATGAACTATAATAGGAATATACGTACTTCAAGAAAACTATAATAGGGGAAGAAAAGAAAGGTTTTACAAATTTGCTTGGTTAAGGTGAGGGTAAGCGTTACGTATAATCATATCAAGGGATATTTCGGGGTATATGGTATTGTAATAGGCATTGCAATTATTGCAAAGAACACGGCAAGGTTCGTGCTGGGTGAAGTTAGATCTGCAGAAGGGAGATACCGTTTAATCTCTGAGAATATTTAATGCAAGAACTTTGAATGCTATTGCTCGGATGTAGATGGGATGCAGCATAGCTACTGGGGGGCTTCCTCCCGAAGGATATCTTCATACGATCTACGGCAGCGTCGCGTACTCTCCCTTTCCCCGCGCTGTGGAGTAGAAGCAAGAAATATCCACTGTAGATAAGTGATTTGTGGGTTATATTTATGACAGTAGACTTACACGTGGATTGTCCAATCGGTGGATATAAGTACAGATAGTCTTCTGGCAGAGCAGATTGGAATTCATCCCAATCATCCTATATCTTCCTGTAAAAAGAATCCTACTTTTCGCGCAGTGTAGGCCCCATACACACACTGGCGAAAATATACAGAGATTCAGAGCGTTGGGGCAGAAGTATCTCCCAGCTATGTCTGCTTCTGCATCTGCATCTCTGACTCTGCTGGCACTCGATGACACGGCTCTTCCCTCTCTTTGTGGCACCTGCTCGCTTGCCCCTTGCCCCTTCCATCCGCCAGCCACCGCCCTGGAGTGATAGCTTCATTAGCAGTTCAAATGTCAATCACGATGCCGTCTCTTGCGAGAATTTGCATCTTGTTTTTCGCAACTCTCTTGGCTGTTGCCTGCTGCAACGGTTTTGGCATGCATGCCCCCCCATGCCATGTGGCACCTAGAAGTGTCACCACCCACCCCATCCACCCCATCCACGGGATAGGTGTCGAACCACAGAAGGGTGACGACGGTGCAGCCTCAGGTATGCGAATCCCGACTATGTGTGTGCGGTGCGGTGCAGTGCGGTGCGGTGCATATGGTAATGAGAATCCCGGTAATCATTAAATCGTTATACGAAGATTCCGGGCACTTAAAAGCTGCTGCATATTTGCGGATATCAAATGAAGGGTTTCCCGCTCCGGCATTAATCGAGTTTATCCCAACCAGCGTATAACAGAGAGGGGGAACTTCGTCATAGCAGAGTTTTTATTTTTATTTTTATAGTTTTTGCCACTACCCCTTGGATATGCCTTTGTTTTTGTTTTTGTATGCGCCTAAAACCTGCATAAATAATTAAGGTTATTATTAAACATAAAAGAGAGCAGCAATTCCACATTTTCATTGATCATTTTCATAACTTTCTTCTGCGCGTAAAAGTTGCTTGATTGCGAGCTGAAAAATCTCTGCGCTGCTCTCTGCCCTGCTGTCTGCCCTGCTGTCTGCCCTGCTCTCTGCCTTGTGTGCCCCTTCCAGAGAGAGGGCTGCCAATTCAATATTTAGACAGTTTCTGGCTGTTTTTTTTTGTTGTTTGTATTGATTTTGATATATTATTATTGCAGCAACTCCGTGAGAGGCTTTGATTTTGGTTGCAATAATTAAACAGAAAATCCAATCGATGTGGCAATAACAGGCAACAAACACATACACACATACACACATACATATGTACATATGTACTGCAAATACTTCAAATAAGTTCTCGACATTGATGATGCACTTGGGCTGGCACTTGCCACTTGCCTCTCCACTGGCAGCAGCTCTTGCCACTTCCCACTTGCCACTTGCCACTTGACACGGTGAAGCCAAAAGTCTTGCACCCAAAAACAGTTGCAAGTCATCAAATTCAAAGTTTGTGGGGTGGTGTGGGGAAGGATGCCCCTGCCGCTGCTGCCGCTGGGGGTAATGTTCATATTTAGTTGCATGTGGCTCGACAGAGTTTCCATTACACTGGCTTTCCCTGCCACACAAACACAAATACAAATACACACAGATAGACACACACACATACACATATGTAAATATGTATGTATGTATGTATGTAGATTAAAGTACAGTTCCACGTCCTTCCGTGCTGCCGCTCCTCCCCACTGCCGTTAATGTTACATGAAATGTTAATGAGAAATTTATTATGGCAAATAAGCTCGATTTGCGTTTTGCTGGCCTCCCTCTCCCCCCCCCCCTCCCTCCCTCCCTCCCTCTTGCCACTTCTGCTGCGCTCACGCCCCACCCAACC